TGGTTCTACTACTTGTACATAAGTACCTGAGTATTGCCTTAGGTTTGTCTGATACTTGCACCAAATTTACTAATTACATTTTAAATTCAAGTAATTAAACTTGTGTAGTTCAAATTTTCCATAGAATAATATAGCCAGAAATATCTAATTTGTGGGTCAAAGATTGTCTAAGGTCAGAAAATTGCCTGATGTTTGTCTTGTGAGGAACAGTGGAGCATCACAGTTGACAGACTTGCAGTCAGTTCTCCATATAATTTACTAATGTTACCTTGTCCCTAATTCTGTGCCTTCTTCCTTCCTTCACTGAAGATGCACTGCTTTTTCTAGTTAAGTAATTGTCAGTGGAAATTTAACATCTAAAAGTGGTTTTATATTGAAGGCTTAGGTTGGAAATTATGAAAAATTTCTTGAAATGGTCATATCTTAAATTCATACTTCCTTGTGTCCTTAGCAGTGCAGATTATATTGGATAGATCTAGGTATAATACAGAAGGAAGGGTGTTTATAGTGGTTCTTACATATCAACACATTTATCCCACTGTAGTATTAATGATGATTTGGTAGTGGAAGTTAAGGTGGAGAAGTTTGATTGCTGGCCTTGTATGTGACTCTGCTTGATTCACCTACTGTGCCACTCAGTACAAACCACTTCTTTTTTTAAATTACTTTTCACAGTTGCTTCTAACTCTAACCCCTACCCCAATCCTAATCCTAATCCTAATCTCAATCCTAATGTCAATCCTAATCCTATACTCAATCCTATTCCCAATCCTAATCCTAATGTCAATCCTAATACCAATCCTAATCCTAAAGAGAAACAAGGAACCAAGACTAAGAGAGAAAAAGAAACAAGAAACATAAAGCAATGAAAACAAAGAAATGGTTACTGAAACGCCAATGATGTGATAGGTGAAGCATGTTATGTGAAGAAGTTTCCTCTGTTGCTTTTTTTTTTTTGCTAGACTTCTGCTAGTTTCATTTAAAGCTTTATCTTTATTCTGTTGGAGAGCAGGTGAATACTGACTCCCTATAACTCTTTACTGTGCTTTTTGTGACACTATAGACTCTTAATGTATTCCTTATATAGACTATAGACTCATATTGTGGCCAGCAGGTTGAGGGAGGTGATTCTGCCCCTCTACTCTGCTCTTGTGAGGCCCCCCCCACCTGGAGCACTACAGCCAGTTCTGGGGCCCCCAGTATAACATGAACATTGAGTTGTTGGAGTGGGTCCAGAGGAGGGCCATGAAGATGATCAGAGGGCTGGAGCACTTCCCCTACAAGGACCGACTGAGAGAGTTGGGGCTGTTCAGCCTAGAGAAGAGAAGATGCCAGGGGAACATATTGAGTCTTTCAATTCCTGAAGGGGTCTTATGGGAAAGCTGAGGAGGGACTTTTTACCAAGGCAGGTAATGATAGAGCAAGGGAGAATGGTTTTAAACTGTAAGAGGGTACATTTAGACTAGATATTAGGAAGAAATTCTTTACTGTGAGAGTGGTGAGACACTGGCACAGGTTGCCCAGGTCTGGTGAGACAGTGTTTATGAATAAGAAAGGCTTCACTAGACACACTCAAGTGGACCAAGTAATATACATAGAATCATAGAACAGTTTGGGTTGGAAGATCATCCAGTCCAACCCCTCTGCCATGGCCAGAGACACCTCCCACTAGACCAGGTTGCTCAAAGCCCTGTCCAACATGGCCTTGAACACTTCCAGGGAGGGGGCATCCACAGCTTCCCTGGGCAACCTGTGCCAGTGTCTCACCACTCTCACAGTAAAGAATGGACACATCCATTTGGTTTCTGTAAGGTATCCATACTTGGAATGCTGCGTGTTGATATTCAGACAGCAATTGGGATTTATTAGTATGTAATTAGTACAATCTTGTCTTTCTTTTTAAGATCTGGCTGAAGAATGCAGTTTGGAGGGAGGACAGATACAGGTCATATAAGAAAGTAAGGGGGAGTATTTCTGCTCTAAGGTTGTGGATAAACTGGCATATCCTGTTGTTTTTTTAGAAGGAACAAAGGACCTTGAGTAGCTTTTACAGTCCTGTAAGATTAAGATTTAAAAAAAACAACAAACAAACCAAAAAAACACCAAAAAAACTCACCACTACCACCACCACCACCAAGAAAAAGCCAATAACTGACCAACCAATACAGAGCCATAGGGTGACTCTGGGTAAGACAAATAATCTGAAGCCCTGCCAAAGAGCTGAGTGTGGCTGGTGTGACAGGGCTTCACCACCAAGGGATTCTTCTCGGCAGAACAGAAGTGGTAACAGACTTAGCATGATAACCATAGAGGACTGTAACAAAGCTTTAGGAGAGGTGCTACTCTTGTTAGAAAATGAGCTTTATTATTCTACCTGATGAGTGTGAAATTTGTCAAATACCTAGTATTAGTAACAGAGTCTAGCTATTCAGGATCCTCAAGTAACTTTATTTTAAACTAAACGCAGCTAAAAACTCAGTCATAATCAAAATGAAAAGAAAAATAGTGAAATTGTTACCTGTAGTTAGAAGTAGGCAATGTGTCTTAATCATGTAAAATTATAAATCCAAGTCATTTGGCAATATCAAATACAACACTGAATAGCAGTGGCATGAAAAACTCATTTGAGGTGGTGTCACAAAACAGCTTTTTACTGTACTCTGGGGAAAAGTTCAATGCCATATGATTGTTGACTGTACATACTTTCTTAGTGTCTCTCAGCCTCAGATTCTGCAGGTAAGCGCCCTTTGTGAACCTACTACAACCTCCTTTAATTAATTGTATAGGACTGGAAAGCTTGAGCACCTGGGTGAAGTTAGCTCAGTCTCCTGACCTCAAGAAGAAATGGAAATCTGGAACTGAGCTCTGTCTTGTACTTGGGGACAAGCTACACATTCTTTGCAGCTAGCTACAAATTTGCAGTAAAAATATTACCTGTTGGGATTTGAGAAAAAAAGAATTGTCAAGGAAATGTCTGTAAAGTTATTCTTAATGTCTCTCTTTCTCCTGTGGTTTCAAAACCCTGTTAGGTAACTGGACTGAAGCCCCTAGTGAATGTATCATGTTTCTTGCTGAGGGGAAAAAAGGTCACCAGAGATGAAAATACCTAAAATTCTTGATGGATTTCCACTTATTTGAGTAACAGTTTATGAATAGCTCTCTGGCCAAACGTTACTCATCTGCCATTGGAGCTAACAAAATTATTTGTGTCATAGGAGGGATATATACCATTTGAGAACTGTTTGTAGTCTGTAGGGTGTTATAAGGCAATGTCTTCATTGTTGACTTCTGTCCTAGTTTCCTTCAGTGCCGTGCTCTGATCTGAGAGTTGTATGGGTTCCAAATACACCCTTAGCTGAATGAAATTAGAGTTCAAGACTCGGTTCTCACTCATTGGTCAGCATACTCACAGAGACGTTAGTATATATTGGGCCAAGCTCAATGTAGTACAGATGACAGTTTATTTGATGGCAATATCTTCCATAATATTGAAAAAAATATTTTGCAGTTTTTGTACATTTTGCAATATGAAAGTGCATGTATAGATAGTAGTTATGAGGGTAGAAATTTACCATTGTTAAAACACATGTGCAATTTGATGTAATAATTCTTCTGAAATTTCTCAACAGCCTCAGACATAGCCTTTCCCAAAACACATCTACAGATAATATCAAGGATTCTACAGAATTGCTCAATACAATACCTCTTTTCTGCAATAATCCATGAAAAATGACACAATAACATGTATGATTACTTCCATATCATGTATCTGAAGTCTATGCCATAAAAAAATCTTAATTCAGACATTTGAATAACAAACACACAGAAAGTATCATCTTTGCATAAAATAAATAAAATGTCTGAACCAACCATCTTTGGTTGCAAAAACCACCCAACCAACTCATTCCAAAAACCCAAAGAACAGATCACAAGAAACTCCTCCACATCAATACATTTTACCTAAATGTAATACCTACATTTTTACTAAAAAGTAAAAACAAATAAAAAGTCATCTGTGTAATTTTTTCCTTTAAAATTTATGGCATGTACATAGAATATGTAGCTATGGTATACTGCAGTAATTTTCATTATTTTTAGGGTAACCTGTATGTTCCTTACTGCTCCAAAGTAAACCAATACAAGTCACTTAGTAAATTCTTTGAGAAAAGACCTTGCTTTTAGTGTGTAGCACAATACAGACCAGGACCTTCTGGATAAGACAGATAAGATAGATGCTGCATTAGTATAAATTAATATTAGGAGCTGTGAATGCATTTTATGTGACACTATGGGCTCTTTCAAGAGTTTATCTCAGATAAATATTTAGCACATCATGCTCGTGTAAAACTATCTGTTCAGAAACATCCTCCTGGATACAGCTGCTCCGTATTATGCATCTCTGATTTATACTAATATATGTTAAGGCAAACAATCACTGTGCAACTGCTGGGAATTAGGTTAATTTAGATTATTTTGCTACATGTTCTTGATTTTTGCAGACTTTTGATTGAGCTCTCAGCCAAGTTGCCTTCCAGACAGTTGCCTGGATGAGATTTTGGGGCCAGGTGTTAACTATGGAAACCTACTTAGTATTAAACATACCTGCCTCATTGATACTGACTTTGGAGACGATACTTTTATATGTTTTTTTCTGGTCATTGTTCCTCACAAAAGACCTAATTGAAAATATCTGTCAAATCGTGTCTCTGGTTTCCCTCTCCTTTCCCCCCCACTTAATTGGACATGTATTGTGTTTGTGTGGGAAGGAAGGAGTCTCTATAGCAGTATAGCAATATTGCTGGGAAAAGAACATTAAAATGGATAAAGGGATTTCCTAGTGGTATAAATACCTGCACACGACCTCCCTGTGCTTTGGAGGCCTCCTGTATATGTATATGCAGGTAAAAAGCCTGGAATAGAGTTTGAGCTGCTGTTGATCGTGCAAGATCTGTTTTGGTAGAAAACAGGGGCAAGTGGCTCCTTTGCCTGTTGGGGAGGGTATGACTTGCCAAGCGTTTGCTTCATCTGACACCTTTGTGTCCTTGAATTCTGACTCTTCTCCCTCTCTGCCTCTGATAATGCATCACAGCGCCGCAGAGTGCCTGCCAGTTTCTAACCATGCCACCAATGTTGTGTCTACAGGTACTTTTTAAAAATAATCTTGTTCTCAGTAACTCATTTGTAATGCTTTTGGATGATGAGTATTCATCCAGTTCTGCAACATTTAAAGTGTATGGTATCAATGCTATGTGTGATTGTGACTATGTTAAAGTAGAAGCATTTTCATAAAACTCTGCATGATAAGTAAATCAGGAAAACCCTAAACATTTGTGTTGCACCTAAATTTGTAGCTTTCTCCAAGTTTGTTACAAGATTAAGCTCAAGTATGCTGTTGTTATGACTGAATAGTCTTCAATGACAAGTGTCATGTAATTTAATTGAAAATTTGTTTGTTACGTAACCATGATTTAAAATAATATAAATTACTTCAAATAGGAAATGTATTTAAAACAGTTCAGGTCTAAATATGTTTTGCGGAAGCTTTCAAGAAGGAAAAACATTGCTTTACAAAATATATTGCATACTGAATCAAGACTAAGATTTATGTTAGATGTTCAAAACTGGTGGCAGAAGTCTCATCAGTGTTTTTTAATTTAGTGTGTTTGTGTATATAATCCAATTAATTGCATTTAAATACTAGGACTGTGTAATCATTGAACTATCTCAGAGAGATACAGAGAAAGAAAGAGTTTTCTTGCAGTCTTAAACCTGCACAAGTGAGATTCTGCAATATAGGAATTGTTGATGAAAAGCTTTCAGGAACAGAAATAGAAATAGCTTTGATTTATATGAAATTGTATTAAGGTAAGAATTTTATCTGGAGTCTTAACAAGAAACTAGCCTTTTCCTGAAATGCATTGGTAATAAAACATTTTAATAATAAGAAAAAGCATGTAATGAAAATTAAAAATTGTTGATAAATAACAGTATCTTAGTCATTCAGCA